GGGGTCAAGGAGCCGCTCCCGCAGGGCCCGGGCGTGAGGCCGTGCGGGACAAGGGCTGGGTCGGCGGCTCGTCCTCACCTCTCTGCATCTCCCCTTGCAGCAAGAAAAAGCACAAGGAAAAGAAAAGGAAAAGGGAAGAGGATGCGGCAGAGCAGCTGGATATTGTTGGTGAGCTGCTTTCCAGGATTTACCTGACAAGTGTGGAAACTGGAGGGGACGTGGCAGAAGCTAAAGAGGTCGCTTCAGGACATTGTAAAGCAATGTAAAGCATATAACTCCTGCAGAGATATATAACTATTTCTCACAACATATTATTTGTACCTTGCGATCTTCCTAGATTCCAAATGGAACTTGTGACACCGATGGGATGGATTCAGATTTTTATAAGTAATTAAAAACAAGGAAGTGTTACTGTCTTAATGAGGTAGGAAATATTTGTAAGACAGTACCCAAGGAGAAAATTTTACCGTTCAAAAAATGTAAAAGTCACAATTCTAAGTTGCGCACATGGGAAGGGCTACCTTTAACTCTGGTAAAATTGTGTAGGAGTCAACTGTTCAAACCCAGGTTGATTTGAACAACTGAGGTCTAAGGATTACAACTCACATATATTAACAGCAAGATGAAATAATATCTCTGTTTCTTTTATGCTGGAGAATCTAATAAATGGGTATGACCCCAAAACTTCAGGAGACAGATCCAAAGGGAAAAAATATTTTTCTTGTGATATGTATCTTTGCTGCATCTGCCAAATGAATCAGCTTGGTCTATAGACTAACACAAAGAAAGGATAAAGCACTGGAGCTTGTAACTAGGGATGACAGGAGGTAGAAGAGCAGGAGTTCCTGAAGCAGCAGCAGCAACACCATTAGATTGGCTCTGACCTATAAATAATGCACAAAGATTGTGAGATAGCTATAGCAGTTTTATCTTTTGAATTTCAAATATCAGAGAATACACAAATATTATTTTTTCAGCTACTATAATTAGAAATTGTGATTAATAAATTATCATGGTTTTGTATTACAGGAAACTGGTGGGCTGTCAGTAATTTTGGTGAAATTACAGGAACTATAGCTATAGAAATGGATAAAGGAGCTTACATCCATGCCCTCGACAATGGCTTGTTTACACTTGGAGCACCACATAAAGGTTTGTTCCAGGAAATTTGAAAATAATGGAGTTGTAATAATGAAGTGCCTAAAAGCATAGAACTAGCATCACTTCAAGGCAAGCAGTGCTAAAACCAGTTTACTACAAAAAATGCAATAATTCTAGCCGAAGCATGCAGATGACTTAAACCAAATGCAGTACTTATGCCAATCAGTTTCACTCATCTAGTTTCATGCTGGCTTATGTGTACAATAAATTGGACTGCACTGGAGATGATTACCTGTTAAAGGCCATACCACTTGCTGGATAAAAAGCGGTATAATTTTTATTAAAACCTATAAAATGTTTATGGCATCACTTGAAGAGTGAAATTCAAGGTAGATGAATTTTAATGTTTTTTGCTGCATCCTTGTCTTAATATACTTGTTTAGTCACTGCACAGGAGGACTACTAATGTGCTGGGAGAATTAACTTGTTCATTTAATTTGAGAGCCTTGACTCTGAGATGGGCTGTTCCAGAACCTGACAGTGTGTGTGTTTCATCTCCAGAGTGAGATCAGAGCAGCAATGGCCATATTCTTCTCCTTTGGTTTTGAGGGATGGAGAAGCTAGTATCTTTTAGGATACCGAGTTGAGTTACCATAGCTGAACCATAATGCATTCTGTTATGAAAGAAGTAATATTACAAGGAGATTAAGGTTTTCAAAGCTAAAGTATTACAAAAACATTCTCAATAATAATTTTTTTTAAATGAAGGTCATCTTTATTTTGTGTCTTGTTTTAAGCACTGTAAATATATGAATATATGTACATAAACGAGCGCCTGCGTTGTTTTTTTAAAAGTGAATGCTCAAAAAGGAATTTTTAATGAAATAAACACTTTTCATAGCATTTAGAAATGGTCAATATTTAATTCTTTTTGATACTGCAGTATTAATAGGCTAATATATTTTGTGCTTATACTTCATACTTAACTAATGGAAAATCCATTCCTCAGGTGATGAAGGCCCTAGTCCTCCTGAGCAGTTTACAGCAGTAAAGTTGTCTGATACAAGGTAATTAACGTTTCAAGTTTTGATACTTGTTATCTTTGGATTTTCGTGGGTGGGCATTTTAATACTCTTTTGAAATACATGGTCTTCTACTTAAAGTGTCTGTGATGTGTTAGATATTGTGAATTGCATGAATCAAAAGCACTCATTTTCACACATTTTCTCTTTGAGGATTGCTCTCAAGTCTGGTTATGGCAAATATCTTGGTATAAATTCAGAAGGACTTGTTGTTGGACGTTCTGATGCAATAGGATCACGAGAGCAGTGGGAGCCTGTTTTCCAAGATGTAAGCTGTTTGGGATAGTTTATTTGATGTTGCTAGTGTTTGACTATATTTTGCATTAATCTATGTGGATGGTTTTTGTCTATGAAATAAAAGGCTTTTGCAATCTCATATTGTAACTTACGATTTTCCAACTGCAATGCATTTACTGTAATTGAAAGTTTTTTAAATGCTTCAGTAGCTGCATGTTGGCAGCTATAAACATCTTAAAAATGAAGGAGTCAGCAAGTCTGCTGGATAGCTATTAAAGTATCCATACATAAAAGAATTAAACCCATTTACAGAGACTTTTGGTATATTGTAGAAGATAAATGTTATATATCAAGGATTATATACAATCTCATTATAATTCCAATGTGTGATATTGTTTCTACAGAAGAAAATGGCATTACTAGCAGCAAACAGCCGTTTTATTAGATGTAATGAAGAGGGGGACATAGAAGCCAAAAGCAAAACTGCAGGGGAAGAAGAAATGATAAAGGTAATCTATAACTTCTACAATTAATACAGGATTGGCAGGAATACTCAAACAAACAGGTGTCTGTGTACTGTGATTTTCTGTTAATACAGTTATAATTGCTTCCTATAAGCTATCAAGTGACCTGGCCACAAGAAAGGTAAATGAGTTCCAAGGCTGCATAAATTCTCAGTACTTCCTATAGAGAGATAAGAAGATACTTTACCACTCAGGAGGACAAAAAAGTCTATGTGATCTTCCAGGTAGTTCTGAACAGCTTGGGACAGAAGAGAGGAGTTTTGGCCAAATCAGGGACAGAAAAGGGTTTGCCAGAATGATCCAGGAGGGGAGATCTTATAAGAGAATTTAATAAGACTATCTTGACTTTATCTGAACGTGGAAAATACATGTGTCTCTCCAAGTAGAGACAGGTGTCTTAACCAGTTAGAACAATAGTATTTCCAAGTCCATCTCTCAATTGTCCCTGCCAAAATTAAGAAATGTAGTCGTGCTCCTTTGAGATGAAGGCAGTTATGTCTTACTGTAGTATCAAGGATTGCACTTTACATTTCCCATATTTCATGCAGCTCTTACTTTTGCAGTTGTCTCTGGTTAACCAGTTTGAAAACTGTGAACCTGAAAAGTCACCGTGACTCTCATTCTGTTGTGAAGGATATGTAGTCATCTTTAACCTGTAACTTACGGTTTTTAAAATGCAAGTGTTTTCTATTGTGTTTTGGTTGTTTTTTCTTTTTTCTTTCAATTATTAGATTCGTAGTTGTGCTGAAAGAGAAGCTAAGAAGAAAGATGAAGTTCCACAAGAAGACAAAGGAAACGTTAAACAGTGTGAAATCAATTATGTGTATGTACTTTAGAGCTGGTAGCAGGTTCAAGTACCATTTTTTGTTTCTAAATGGGGCTGTCTTTGGTGGAAGGGCCCAACCCCCACGCAGCCTTTCACTCACTTCTCATTAGCAGGTCAGGGGAAGAAAAGAGGATGAGAAGGCTCCTTGGTTGAGATAAAGGAGAGATGCTGTCCCAGATACTGTCCCTGGGATAACTGTGAAAAATTAGTTACTTTTGTTTCCTTTTAAATGGGTGTAGATACCGAGAGACAAAAATTAAAAACACCACCTTTCCTTCTCCCATCTCCCAAGCTCAGCTTCTCTCCTGACTCTTCTACCTCCTCCTTCAGGTCAGATGAGCTATAGGTCAATACACAGTGGGTTTTTTCAGCCATTCCCTTGCTCTCCCATGTTTCCCCTGCTCTGGTATGGTCTTACTCATGGGCTGGAAGGTAATATTTGATACAGTGCCTAAAGCATCTCCTTCCTCTCCTCTGTGCTTGATGTTCACACTGCCATTTTGCACTTTTAAGGTTGGTTTTTTTTTTTCCCTTCTCTGCCTGTGTGGCATTTTGCCTTATCCTAAATATGTTTTCTTAGGGGTACACCAGCTTTGCTGGTAGATTTGGCTGTGTCCTGTAGTGGATGTCTTCAGAGACAGCTCTGTCCAGCACAGGGCAGAGAGAAAATCCCTGCAGCTTCCCTACAGTCAGCACCTTGCCAGTATACAGTCAGCTACCTCCAGTATATTTTTGCTCCTTGATTTCTTATGCTAGTAGTTGAAGAAGGGGTTCTTTAGAATTTGTAACCACTTCATGCTAGTCACATAGGGGCTCATTCCTACTTAGACTGCCAAAAAAAAACCCCAGAATAGTTTTCACCTACAGAATCCTTAGTGCAACTTTAGTACTGGGATGGCTTTCTGGATTTTATTAGGTCAGTTATCTGCTGCTTTAATAGCAGCTAAGATTCTTACCACAGCTGTTGTGTTGGAAAACAAAATTTTAAAGAAGTTTCACTATTTTGCTAATTTTTTTCCCCCTTACAGGAAGAAATTCCAAAGTTTTCAAGACAAAAAGCTTAAAATAAGCAAAGAAGATACAAAAGCCCTTAGAAAAGCCAGGAAAGAAGGCACTTTTCATGAAATGCTACTTGACAGGTACTTCAAAGTGCTGGAAATAATGTATTGATTAAAAAACTACTGGGAGATGCAATTACAGTAAAACCTGGGGTACAAAAGAGGGGTAGATTTCAGGGAGACAGGCTCCTGAGCATTTTTCCACTGGTGAGTATTGTGCCTGACTCCTGGTGGGCCACCTTTTATTTTTTATTTATTTTTTATCTAGATTTTTCCCTTCTTTACCTGAAGTTTATAATTTTGAATTTACATGTAAATTAGTTCTTTTGGAAATCTTTAACTAGGTTGTTCAATTTGTTTAGTATGGAGTTGTTGAGGGATTAATCTTTTTAATCATGAAAACTCAGCTAATTTTTAACATTTTTTCAATACCTATGGTACTAAAACATTTTGGAAGGCAAAAGTTGCCTTTAAAGAGAAATAGTGTCTATTAAGGACCTTCTTCATGTTATTTAGTGGGAATTTTTTTTTCCCTGAGCTGAGACTAAGGAAACTGTCTTGAATTTTTAAAACCTTTTATGTCAGTATATAGTATAGATATTTTCATTAATTCCGTGAGTGGATTCAGAAAACTATTCTGGTAATTGCAAGTGATGTGAGAACACTCCTGGGCTCTCATAGGTGGTCAGCTTCAGATCACACTGAATCTGAATTCCATTCCTGAGAGGAGACAAAATGCAATTATGATGACTTGAAGGGAATGTCAGGGTTAACTTTAGACACTGCAGTTCTATCTCCTTAGGAAAACAAAGTTAATTAACAAATCCAAAGTGTTGCTAGGCCTTTATATGTACTTTGAATGAAAGTTTATGAAAAATTGCTTTCAATGCATTCTTTAAGTTTATGAAAAATTGCTTTCAATGCATTCTTTACTCTTTGAGGCAGATGAAACACCCAGGTGTAATTGTATTTGGTCTTAATTTAAATCTTATTTCATCCACTCTTCCCATACAGGAGAGCTAAAGTGAAAGCAGATAGATACTGCAAGTGACACCCAGCTGGTCCATTTTCGGGAATGACTCCAACAAAAATTAAAGGTATATCAATTAACAGTGGTAAGCTATTTGCCATGTAACTTAAGCCCTGGGAGACAGACTGTACGCTGATTTAGTCCAGAGGGAAAGCTCCCTGGCTTTTAGCTGCCTTTAGGACAAAATCTAGAGATAAATAGATGATTGTTGGCAAATGTTCCTGGCCAGAGTGAGGAATTCTTGGATTAAAATGCATAGCTTTGAGGTGTGCTATGGAAGAGAAGGAGGAAAAAAGTTATTAATTTTTCTGCAGAGGTCCTTAGTTCAGTCTAGGACTGGGGATTAGGGCTCATTAACTAGTTGTAGGTACCATATCCCTCCCCAGAAATGTAAGTGAACGATGTACAACAAACCATTGGAATATCACAGTCCTGGAAGTGGCTTGCTGCCAAAACTACCCTCAGAAACACAGAGAAAAAGACAACACTGCAAGGAGCAGGCTGCAGGCCAGAGTAACTATTTATTGGAAGTTCACTGCAGGTGTCATTGATCCACAGTCAGTGTGAATCTTAAATACATCTGAAGTGAATGGTGGAAGTAGATTGATATTACAGCATCTGTTTTTCTTTTAGGAATATATTGTTTGAATAAAAACTTGCCTAGTAGAACCCACAAAAATGATTACTCAAACACAGATACACCTGGAAGCAGAAATATATGCTCTGGTGGGGAAGGGTGCTGAAAGGACTGCTGAGCAGCAGAATAAGAGCCTGAGAATTACCCCTGAAAGGGAATTGCCCATTTCATATTAGTGTAAATAGATTACAGTGTGGTGCAAGTAGCTATAGGTAACAGTAAGGGAAAAGTGGAACTGAGAGGCGTGTTTGTCACAGAGGGGTGAGTTAGTAGAGTAAAAAGTAATGGTAGAGCACATGAAATGAGACTGTCCCAAGTAGGAGAGGAAGTACTAGAACAGGCAAGGGACTGGCAGTCTTGCAGAGAGTAAGGGTATTTTAGTAGCAATGAGGTTTCCCTGTATGTTGGGACTAATGATACGCTAGAGTCTTGAGAAAATGCGTTCTGAGATAGCACAGAAACAGGGATCTGAGGAATTCGCAGGAAATCTAGTCCCAAGAAAATTAAACCAAAGGTATAATAAAACAGTGAATATCAGTGTGTGTATTTAACTGTTTCTATGAGTAGTCTTTCTGGATGTTTCCCCAATGGAGGTATTCATGGAGTCATCTTGAAGACACTACATCCTGACAGTAGTGTTAGCGCAAGGGGCTTTAACTGAACTGAAACAGAAAAAACAGGGAAGTAATTTGGGCAGCCTCTGCTTGGGGGAGAAGGAATAGATCTGGAGAGTGGTAATACAGTACTGGATAGTTGAGTATGAGAGAGCAGAAGGATGGACATAAGTGCTAAATATCAGTGAGACCAGCTGCTAGCTGTACATCTTAAGAAGCATTTTTCTTCCTAGATTTTTGAAAACTGACAGAAGAAACTTAGACTAAATGGAGGGCCTAAGGTGCTGGTGTGGACCCTGAAGGCAAGGCATAGTGATAGGAACACAGCAGAATAGCCATAGTCAGAGAAGGTGACTGGTGCTGGTGATTCTAAACCAGAATCACAAATAGGCCTTAAAAAAGTACACTGTGTAATGTGACAATGGCATCATTTTGTCTTCAGAGCGTTTGGAAAGAGTTTTTAATTTTTCAAAGTCATTGTTTATTTTCTCCTGTTAAAAATGTACTAAAGATGGTAAAGCATCTAGACAAAGATAATAGCCTCTAACAGTTGTCTGCCCCAGATATAAAAGATGAGCAAAAGGGGTTGCAGATGTTCAGAAAATAACAGGACCAACTTAATTAGACTCTTTTTTCCCATAGCCCATAATATATATATTCAGATATCTGGAACTAAAGACAGGATTATTGTTTTACATGTATTTGTTTTCAACTGAAAATATTTTCCAGACCCTGTGGAAAGTGCCTGATCTCCTGTTTTTAAAGAACACTCCCATAAAAGTCTCAGGGTTTATCCTGTTACACTGTAATTTTCCTAAGTTTCTAAATCCACAAATTGGTTCTGTATCTTCTTTCAGCACTGCTTAATATTTTTCTGCCTTTCTCTAAAGCTCTGTGCAATTGCCAGCTCTGTTGTGAGCTGGCTCCTTCCTACACTGTTGCATACTGTCCTCCCAAGGCTTTCCCACACTACAATACATTCTCTGTCCTTTCCTGTTTCTTAATTTTTGCAGTTCCATGCAGCTTTCCAATCAACTGTCTGCCAAGGACTTCCCTTCTTTTTCTTGCCACCCCCGCTTGGTTTTGTAAGACAGTTAATTGCACAGGCAATTAAGTCATGATGTAAAGGCTGCATCACTTATTTCCTGTGTGCCTAAAAGCACATGACATGTCTTAGGCACTGCACAGAGCACATGAGACAAAAACACAGGCATCCTGGGAGATTTTGAGTACTTTGAGTACTTTTCTCATGGTTCTTTCACCAACTGTTGCCGATGTTCACACTCATCAAGCATTCATTTGCTCACACTAAAATGATAATGCTCACGCTAAAATGACAGTGTGCGCCTAATTTGGCTGCTGGTTTGTACTTGATCTTACAACAGCCTGGTCTAGTGGAAGGTGGCCATAGCAGAGGCTTGGAACTAGATGATCTTTAAGGTCCCTTCCAACTCAAACCATTAGAACTCAAACCATTCTCCAATTCTATGAAATAGAATACCATTTAAATAATAATTAGAAGGCAGGATGCTTATACACTGATGCATCTCATACTGTGTATTTCTCATTAGTCTGTTTCCCCAGTCACCAGCTTCCTGCGCTCCTAAGCTACAAGGAGAAAAATCTTTCCTCAAGAACATGCCTGCCTGGCGTCTTTCCTTACCACTGATGCTCAAAAGATAGGCTGGAAATAAATCCCCATAGCTTGATGTCTATAGAGCAGGTATTTGTTCATTGCAGCACTGGTGGTGAGGGGGATGTCTCCACCTGACTCACCCACCTTTGTCAGGTGCTGTGGTATATTTACACAGTAAGTATTGCTTGGTTTTACTGTGTCACTACAACATCATCATAATGAATTTACATAGTATGATCCCATGGTTGTTAGATAGTTCTTTTGCACTGCACTTATGCCTCCCCAGTTCAGGATCATCGGGGGTTTTTGATGAAGGCTTCCAAGGTCTTCTTCATATCTGAACTTTTCCACTTTGTCTTCAGAGCATGTGCACTTATGGTCTGTCTGGTCCCAAGCAGTCTAAATTCTTTATTTTGTGGTTAATTTGCTTTATATTTGCCAATTTCTCATTAGACTATACTTCTCTTATCTCTAAAGCCATCCTCCTGGTGGGTTTTTTCTTTTTTTTTTTCTATTCAGCATTAAGCAACTAGTTAACCATATACTTGCCATTATATTGTATAGAAAAATATATCAGGTTACATAGGTATAAAAAGCTATGATTCAGGTTATATTTATATCAGGTTATATAGCTATACCGGGTATATTGGTATCATATACTTCAAGCTATATAAACACCTTGTAACTTTGACCTAAGTTACATTGGCATCACCACACAGCCTGCCTGAAGTCTCCGTCGGACACAGAGTAATTAAAAATCTCAGTACTGCCAAAGTGAAAACTGGTGCCACGGGTTTTCTCTCAGGGTTACCAGAGAGAGGCGATTTTATTTCGGACTTTCCTGTGCGGAAGTTGCCTTTTGTGGAAGCCAAAATTCCGCCGAAGTTTTGTAGAACAGAAAGAGCTGCTGGGCTTTTCCGTGGCCGCACGGGCGGTG